TCCTCCTCCCCCCGGCCCACCCATCGCCTGCGTTCCTGTCGCTTCGCCCGCCCAGCCCCCCGCGCGGGTTCTTCCGGAGGTGGCGGCCTCGTCCTGCGTTGCGCTACGCGCCAATCAATGCGAGCGCGCATGATGCCCCAGGCCCGGCGGGCGGCGGGGCGGCGGGGGTGCGCGGAGCGCCCGTGCTATCTTGTAGTGGATGCCACGGGTCGCGTTCCATGGGGCGACCATGAGCTCGTCCATCGAGCGGGCGTACCTGGGAACGCCCGCCCCCCCCCCCCGCCCCCCAGGGCAACAACTCAGCTGCCCTCCTGACTTCTTAGTTAGCCCCCCCATTGCAATGGCAACTATTCTCGCGTCTTGGCTGGGCCAGCCTGTCTTGGGCTATCTTTGGGCCACGAGGCGGGGCTTTCCCTGGCCTTTCCGGCGATGTTCCTGGCACTGCACGTGTATGTGATGTGTGTGATGTGTGTGGTGTGCATGTCGAGGTAGTATGTGCATGATGTGCGCGTGTGTTTACACATGTGTCAGTACGCGCATATGCATATGCTTCTGAGTTGTCGCAGGGACCTGCGCGTAACAACATCAGACGAACATATTATGTAAATGCCAACGTATGTATGTGAATACGTATATGTACACAAATATGTATATGCATGGGTGGTGAACATGTATATGATGCATACACTGCTGCCGCGTGCAAATACTGCATGTACTTCAGTCAGATATCAAATATGACTTGATCCTTTCTTCCTGCTCCTGCTCCTCTCTCTTCCTGGCCCCTCCTCCTGCTCCTCCTCCTCATTTAATTGAATATGCGCTTGCCTTGGACAAGCGCATCCCCCTGCCTGTGGATGATGCCCCCCATGGGGCCCGCCCTTTTTTTCTGTGTGTTCACGCATTATAAGCCCCCTGGGGCCGCGAGGGATATAAGCCCACGCATCATGCATTTCACCGGCGCGGTGTTGCTGAAGCCCGCGGATGGGGAGTGCGAGAAGATGATTCTTCACGCGTCGTCTTGTTTGCCTTTGAACTCGGTACTGTTTCTTGCCCCTAGCCTTCGGGTATAAAAAGCATGGTAGTCGTCTCATCGTCAGGGGGAGGCCCCTCTCGTCCCACCACCCCTTTCCTCCTCACTCCAGTGGGGGGAGCAGCAACAGCAGCAGCAGCAGCAGGCGGAGGCCGGCCAGACCACCCTCCACTGAGCCCTGCAGGCCCGAGACGCCGTCCCACCTCAAGCCTTCCTGTCCGCCCTGCCTGGCCCATCGCGGGAAGGGCACCCGCAGCGGTCGCCGCGGCTGCAGCGCATATTAGCCCCGCTGTAGCTGTTCCAATAGAACCTCATAGAAGTGAAACTTACCCCCAGCAGGGGGGGCGGGGCGGGGGCGGGATGATGGGCTCCGTCGTCGTCCGTCCCGCCCCCATCCCATCCCCCTGCCTGGGGAAATTTTCACCTCTGAACCGGCAGAGCTCCGTCTTCTGCATGTGAGCCATGGTGGAGGATGCCCCCCCGCCTGCAGCTACCCCACCGAGCCTCGGGCAGGCTCAGGGGGGCTCGCGCCAGGGGCAGCTTTGTCGGCGCGCGCTGCACTGGAGGTGGTGGACGAGGAGATGGAGGAGGAGGAGGGAGAGGAGGAGGAGGAAGGAGGAGAAGGTTGAAGAGGAGGAGGAGGAAGGGAAGGGAACAGGGAGGAGCAGGGGGAGGAAGGAGAGGGAGGGGGATGGGGGAGGAGGCGGAGGAGAACGGGGAGGAGGAGGACGAGTAGGAGGAGGAGGATGGGGGAGGACGGAGGGAGGAGGGAGAGGAGGAAAAGGGGGAGGAAGGAGAGGAGGAGGAAAAGGGGGGGAGGGAGGAGGAGGTGGAGGAAGAAGTGGAGGAGGTCGAGGATGGGGGGGTAGAAGGAAGAAGAGGAGCACTGTTCGGATCGTGATGCAGAGCAAAAAACAAATAATGAGGAACGCGATCCGGTGATCATGATGCTGTGGTGATGATGGCGATGGTGACGAAAAGAAGGCGATGCGGAAAGCAACGGCGGCCTGTCGTGGTGGGGGCAACAGCGGTTGCAATAATGCTGATGCCGACGCAGCAAAGGATTATTCATCATTATGCGGCAGTGGCGATGAGGAAGAAGCAGGGGAGGAGGAAGGGGGAGGAGGAGGGGGGAGAGCGACGAGAGGTGGATGATTATTGTGATGATGATGGCGACGATAGCGATGAGTGGGGAGGGTGATGGCGATGGCGATGGCGATGGGTGCGATGACGATGGCGGTGACCAGGGGGAGGGGGAGGAGGAGGCGAGGAGGAGTCGGAGGAGTGGGAGGAGGAGGAGGCTGAGGAGGAGGGCGGTTGTGGGCGAGGAGCCCATGAATGTCGGAGTCTCTGCGAAGGTCGCGGCGGAGGGCGAGGGCTCCATGGATGGGCCAGGGCCCCATGGTCCAGGACGACCTGATGGGTTGCTTGGTATGTGGCGATGCCTGCTGTGGCGAGGGCCCTATGGACGGACGTGCCGTATGCTCGTGGGCTTGCCACCCACATAGCCCCCCCCTGGCGTCGTCGACCCCCCCCCCTTCGCAAATATTATAGCCCCCAACGAGATGCCCCCCCTTTCCGCCGCCGCCGCTGCACCCCTTACGCCCTGCTGCTGCTGCTGCTGGTTGCATCTAGTGGCTCAAGCTGCTGGCCTGACGCACGCCAGGCGCTAACATACTGGGCGCTACAACTAGGCGCTAAACGATGTGCTGGGCGGGCTGCTGCCGCTGGAACTGCTGGTGGGGGGCTAATAATGCGAAGCGCATCAGCAACGACGAGGCTACTGCCATCACTTGGCAGTTCGCTGAAAGCCGCTGGGGCTGTGGGGATTCCTGGGTGGATGGCGCTTGGGTGGATTTCTGGGGCTACCACTCCAAGGCTACTGAGGCCGCCTACCAGTCCGGAGCTAAGTGGTTTCAGTTTCAGACCGACTACTACTTCGACCACGACGTCACCGTGGTTTTCGGCACAGGGGGCTACGACGGCGACGAGCATTACCAGTACTCTAGTAATGGGACCTACCGGCGCGTGCGCAGGGTGAAGATCCTCATGCAGTGAGTGAGGAGCGGGGCTACTAGGTACGTAGTAAGTCGCCAGCAGCAGCGCGGGGCTAGGATATGATGAGGAGGCGGGGCTAGATGAGGACGCAGTGCAGCAGCCCAGACAGAGCCCATGACAGACCTGGTTAGATGTCGAGAAGAAAAAAGAAGAGCGGAAGATATGGGAAGGAGGGAGAAGAAGGGGGTGTCGGGATGATGGTGGCGGTGATGATGATGATGACGACGAAGACGACGATGGCGAGGGGGGCGATGGGACTGTGTGAGGGAGAGAGCGAGTGTGGGCACCCATGGGCGAGGTGGAGGAGGAGGAGGGCCTAGGAGGGCGAGGGCGACTCTAGGGCGAGGAGGGCCTAGCTAGGAGGGCCCATGGGCGAGGTGGAGGAGGGCCTGGAGGAGGGCCTGGAGGAGGGCCTAGGAGGGCAGTGCCACCTCTGGCGAGGACGACGCGCGAGGATTTTATTATCAGTTATGAACCTTAATTCCTGGGTGCCAGATGCTGGTGGGCTAGGTGCCAGATAGCGCGGTTAGACAATTAACTCGGGTCCGGGGTAAGTCGGGTTCGGAATCCCGAACAACGAACCCGAGTTAGCCCTGACCCGAGTTACCCCTGATGATTCGGGGCTATGACTTCCCTTGACTCCGTCTCCGGAGACGGGGTCAGGGGGGGGGCTGGGATCTGGGCCTAACCCCCTCTGGCGGCACCCCGAGGCTGGTCCAGCCCGAGAACACGCGCGACGTGCTGAGCAACAGGGAGCGCTCTCGGCGAGGAGCAGCTCACCGACGGGAGGAACGCCGGCGTTTCGCCACAACTCCCACGAAGCTTCTCTGCAACCTGGCCCCTGGCATCACACCTCCCCCCCTTGTGCGTGCCGACCGACGGCCCCTCAGCTCCCCCCGAATGAGGCCAGATTGAAGGAGGGGCTTCTGGGGGCCGCCGTCGCTGGCGCTTCCCAGCCCTTCGGGCCCCTGCTGCCACCTCACAACTCGAAGATGCCGGCCCAGGGAAGCCGACCGGGCGCAGGCCACCTCGAAGATGCCGAAGAGGTAGGCTCGGTAGAAGCAGTTCCCTCCCGCGCGGCCGCCGGTTTGGGTAGGCTCTGGATTCGGGAAGGTCTTAGAGGGTTGCCGATCGTGTTCTTGCATTTCCGACTGTCGAAGATTTGGGAAGGAGCTCAACGGCTTCCGCATGCTTCCGTTCTCCGGATGTCCACGCGTGTTGGAGAATGGCTTCCTGTGGTCTGGAAGATTGAAGGGGCCCTGAGACACACAAATAAATACACACAAATAACAAGGATTCCCCATATTTCTCCCATAGTTTCTGGGTTTTTGTCTTCCCCCCCCATTTCCCATATTTTCCCAAATCAGAGCTTGCCTCTGTAGGGGTCCTAGCGGATTCATATGGTTAGGCTAAGTTTGCCGCCGGTTTTCGCCGCACGCCCGGGTGCCTGGGTGCCCGGGGGTGCCCGGGTACGTGCCCGGGTGCCCAGGCGTGCCCCGGGGTGTCCGGGGGCGCCCTATAGCCCCATAGCACTATAGGCCAATAGACCTATAGCCCTATAGCCCTACAGCTCTTTAGCCCTATAGCTCTATAGCCCTATAGCTCAATGGCCATACAGCCAAAAAGCCCTATAGCCCTGATTGGGGTTTTCTCCGGCATCATTCGCAAATTATCTGGGGTATCGACGATTAACTGTGTATGTGTGTTTTTGTTTCCCTCCTGGAAGATGCTCGAACGTTGTGGGGGTGAGGCCGAGAAGCAAGAGCGGGAGCGGCAGGAGCGGCAGCAGAACCAGCTATTCTAAGCGTGTGCAGGCTCGTCTCCTCGTGGGCATGTCGATTTCCAGAATCATCCACGTGTACGTTTTTCGATAAAGTTTTTGCGATGCGGCGACCAGACACACTGTCTCCTAGAGGGCAAGTTGACTTCAAGATTCATCCACACGTACGTTTTTCGATACAGTTTTGGCGATGGGGCGACCAGACACGCTCAAACCAGTCCCGTACAGCAGGCTGGCTGCACAGCAGGTGCAGGATAGGCAGAGGAAACAGTTCTCCTGATCGGGTTCCCGGCCGACGTCCAGGCAAGACAAACTGAGAGCGTGGGCGTCGGGGGGGATGGAGACGGCAGGAGGGAGGATAGCGCGGTATCGTCGCTCCCTCGTCTCGTCTTCACAGGGAGAAAGACATACACATAAGCTCCCACTAGCCCATAGGGCTAAGGTAGTCTGACGATAGATAGCTCCTCCTCCGAAGACTGATTCCTCTCCGGGAGGTTCCCCTCCCCCCCTCCCCGGAGTGCTCTCGGCGCGGACGCTGGGCGTTGGAGCGTCCGAGAGGGCCTCGGCGCGACGGCCAAACTCACTGATGTTGGCAAAGTCAGGGGGGGCCATTTAGGCGACTTTGATGACCACGGGGGGGGGGGAGGCAAATCCAGGACCCACCCCCCTTTTCATCGATGGCCTCCAGGATAACCCAAATCTCCTCCTCTCTCCTCCACTCCTTTCCTCGTATGCGTAAATCCTCCGCGTCGCGCACAGGAGCTGGTCGAAAGGGCGGGCAGGGCGTCTTGCCTGAAACTTCCTCCCTGCTCCTGGCCCTGGACCTGAAACATCGACAAAAACTTCACACGTGGAGGAAGGGTGGTTTTCAAAACGTGGATGAAGGGGCCCCAGGACACACAAATAAGTATACACAAATAAAAAACATCCCCATATCTTCCCATATGTTTTGGGTGTCTGTCGTCCCCCCACTTCCCATATTGTTCAAATGTTCTTGGAAATCGAGGATTAATTGTGTCTGTGTTTTTGGTTCCCCTCCTGACGTGGAGCTCGCCTCAGCGCCGCGCACAGTCGTCAGGAAACTGTTGCAGGAGCTTCACGGCCTGAGGGCGGTGTGTGTGGCTCCTGCCCCCGCGCCGCGCGCGCTCGTGCTTTCCACTCGCAGGAGCTCCACGGAGGGAGGGCAAGGGCCACGTTCAGGCTGCTTGGCTCTCTCGCATTGGCGCCGCGGGCACTCTCCCTGAAAAGTTGCAAGAGCTCCATTGATGGAGGGAGCTCCATTGATGGAGGGCTCTCCCTAAAAAGTTGCAGGAGCTCCAGTGAGGGAGGGCGCGTGGTGTTCCAAATTGGGGCTCTCGCCTTGTCGGGCGCTGGCAGAACTGGGTTCAGTGAAACCTGGTTTGGTGATGTGCCCTGGGGGACGCCCCTGCCGCGTTCCACTCACCAGACCTGCCGTCACCCGAAACGAACCAGCTACGGCAGACCTGGTTTCGTGATTCCGGCCAATCCAAGGGCCCCAGGGCTCTACCACTAACCGGGTCCCCTTACCCGGGGTCCTGGCTATACCCCACCTTAGCGCCGCGCATCTTCGTCTTAACACATTTCATGAGCTTCACGGATTGGGAAGGCGGTTCGTTTTCAAACTGTGGCTCTCGCCCTGGCGCCCACACACACTCGCTTAAAACATTTGCATGCGGTTCACGGTTTCCCATATTCAGCGTACCAGAAATTGTGTTTTGGAGCGATCCAGGATCATCAGGGCGCAGCAAAGTTTTGCACATTCGCGGTGCTGAAATCCCAAGAATAGTATCCTGGCACGGTTGACGATCGTCGGGACACCACAAACACTTTGATTCCTGGCGTGCTTCAGGGTCTTCAAACGGTTGTTTCTCAACGGGGCTCTGCCCTGTGGAAACGAATCAGTGCAGGGGCCTATGAAGAAAAAACATCCTCCTCACCATCCTCTCCCCGTTATTCTCCTTCGCTCTCCTCCTCCTCCTCCTCCTCCTCCTCCTCCTCCTCCTGCTCCTCCTCCTCCTCCTCCTCCTCCTCCTCCTCCTCCTCCTCCTCCGCTTGCTTCCTCCTCCTCCTCCTCCTCCTCCTCCTCCTGTTCTGCTCCTCCTCTCCTCCTCCTCAACCTCCTCCTCCCCCCCCCTCTCCCCAGGGCGGGCGGGCGCGCTGGCCGTCGGGACGCGTCCGCCGCACGGCGCCGAAGCGGCGCGCGAGGCCCTCCACCTGGCGCGCGGGGGAGGCGCGGCCGGGGCCCCGCGGGCGAGCTGCAGGCAGCTCGGGGCCTCGCCTGTGTGATCGATCGCTCTCCTTCCTCCTCCTCCCTCCTCCTCTCCTCCCTCCTCCTCCTCCTCTCCTCCTCTCCTCCTCCCCCTCCTCCTCTCCTCCTCCTCCTCCTCCTCCTCCTCCTCCTCCTCCTCCCCTTCCTCCTCCCCTCCTCCTCCTCCTCTCTCCTCCGCCTCCTCCTTCTCCTCCTTCTCCTCCTCCTCCTCCTCCTCCTCCTCCTCCTCGCCTGGGGCCTCCTCCTCTTCCTCCTCCTCCTCCTTCGCCCACGCTGGGGGGCCCTCCTTGGGGGAACAAGAAATGGCATAAACATATAAACTCGGAGGTCCGCGCGGATTTCTCGGATCGGCGCTGGGGCCCCCCGGCGTCGTCTCCGGCGCCGCCCCTGGCGCGCTCTGCGCGCCAGGGAGAGCCCCGAGAGAACCCCGGGAGAACCTGATCTGGAGAGCCCCGAGAGAAACCCGGGAGGGTTCCAAGAGGGCACCGAAAGGTCCCCATTTCAAGTCGCACCGTGCGACATGAAATCGGGCCACCCTGAGGCCCCGCTGGGGCGGGAAGCTCTCGGAACCCCCACCGGGCCCCAAGACTGCCTGGGATGAGCCAAACAGGGGCCCTGCAGGGCCCCGAAAGACTGCAAAAGGGCACCAAATTAGAAAGACCGAAGACCGCAAACTGCAACGCACTCCCGTTTGCACCCCCACAAAATTACCACTTCGAATGCCCTCGCAGGGCCCTTTCGGGCCCGCCTCGGGGCCCCCCAAACCCCGGGGCGGGGCCGAGGAAGTCCCCCAGGGGGGGCGCCAGAAGCACTCCGAGGGGGCCCCGACAGAGCCCGACAGGGCCCAAATTCAAATCGCACTGCGCGACTTGAAATAATGGCAATTTGTGGCCCGAGCGGGGGGCCTCTCGGGGCCCTTCCAGGGCCCGAGGAAGCCCCCAGAGGCCGCCAACAAGTGTGGAACATCACCCTGGGAGGTTTCCCCGGTGGGTGGCCGGGCTCCTCGAGGCACCTGACGCGGCCTCGCGCGAACCCGCGGGGGCGCTCTCGCAACCGCGAGGGCGATCCGAATTGGGGCCCGTTGAGGCCCGTCTTGGGTCGTCTCGGAATTCGCCCCGGCTGTTTCGAGGCCCCTCAGCGGTCTGCGAGGTCTCTCGGGCCCCTCTGGCGGGGCCTCGGGCGCGCCCGCGAGCTGCTCCAAGGCCCCGGGGGGCCAAGCGCGCCCGCCCCGCGCCCACCCTCCGCGCCCCCATCCCTCCAGCCGCCCTGCAAGACGTCCCCCACCACTCCCCCCAGCGCGCTCGCCTTCCAGCGACGGGTGGCGGAGGAGGAGGAGGAGGAGGAGGAGGAGGAGGAGGAGGAGGAGGAGGAGGAGGAGGAGGAGGAACGATCAGAAAAGAAGCCCCCAATCAGCCCCCGAGAGATCCCGTCGGGGGGGGGCCCTCGCGCCGCCCGCCGGCCCCCAAAGTGCCCGCGCCCGACGCCCCGCTCGCCGTCGGGGGCCGCGGAGGGACAGGCCGCGGCCCCCCGCGGCGCCCGCGGAGGTGGCCCCCAGACTGCGAGGCCCAGCGGCGGCACCCCGAGGCCGCGGCACGACGGACGCGGATCATCGACCTCGGGGCGGCGGACGGCTCGCGGCAGCAGATGCAGAGTGCGATCGGTGCAACCCGACCGCGCACGCAGGAACCGCGCGCGGATCCGGCCGCGGCACACTGCGCGCCCGAGTCGGCGCCCGAAGGACGCGCCCGAACGGGTGCCCGAATGAGAGCGAGAATGCTCCCGAATGGAAACGATAATGCGCCCGAGTGGCGCTGCCAAGAAAACGATTGCGTGCCCGAATGGAAGCAATAATGTACCCGAATGGACTGCGAAGAAAACGAGCATGTGCCCGAATGAAGAATTATGCGCCCAAACAGAAACTATCATGTGACCGAATGAAAAAGATGATGTGCCCGACTGGAAAACAGAAAACCGCCTGGGACATCCTCCAAAATACAAGCGGTTCGGGCACACCAAGACGAACGCATTGATTCGGGCACCGATTCGGACGCCGATTCGGGCGCCGATTCGGGCGCCGATTCGGGCACCGATCGGGGGCGGCCCCGTGCACTTTCGACCCATCAGCTCGGCCGCCATTCGGGCGTGGCCGCGCGAGACGCGGGCCGGCGGCAAGCGCGTCGGGAAGTCGGTCGCGCGAGCGCCGCGCTCGGGCACGCTGTGGCGGCAGCGGCGGCGGCGGCGGGCATCGGCGCAGCGGCGGCGGCGCTGGCCGCTGTCGCACGCGGCGGGTGGCGCCAGCGGGGCCAGTGGCAGCACTCGCGGCACCTGTGGCGTCGGTGATTGCTGCGGCGGGTGATGAAGGACGGTGGCTGGTTGCAGCGGCGCCGCGGGCAGTGGCAGTCGTTGCCAGGGAGGCCATCATGTCGGATGTGTTGGCAAAATGTTGCTGCAGGGGGCGTTGGTGGTGATGGCGGCGCTGGCTGCGGTAATGGTGCTGGTGGTTGAAATGTCTCTGTTGGACTTGTAGCGGCAGCGGTGTTGGCGGCCACGTCGGTCGTTCTGGCGTCGCCGGCGGCGCGCGCGGCCGTGCAGGCGGCAGCGTTTGTGGCGGCGGCGATTGCCGGCAGTGGCGGGGGCGCCGGCGTGGCCATCGGCGCGGGGAGGGGCGGCCGGGGAACGGCCTGAAGGGGGCGTTAACAATGACGCTGAATGGCGGTCGCCGCGGCAACGAACTCGCCAGCGGCGATGTGCGTCGTGGCGCCGGTGGCGGCAACGATGGCGGCACTGGCAATGATGTCGGCTGCGCTGGAGGCGCTGCCGCTCGCAGGGCGCGCGGGAGGTGACGCGTAATCAAAGGGGGGCGAGCGCGCCCCTAAGAAGGTCCCTGATAGCCAAAGGTGGCCTCCCAGATGGCAACGGGCAGCCGGGGCCAGGGCAATGCGCGGCCCAACGCGCGCCATCGACCTCCCAAGGCAGCCCATGGGCGGCCCCGGTCGGCCACGGAGTCTCCCATGGCGCCCCTCGAGAATCCAACGTACCTCATGCGCTCACAACACAGTCGACGATGCTTGCCTTTTCGCCCGCTCGCCCGCTCGGTTTTGCTGCGGCTTGGAGAAGGATCCGGCAATGCCAAAAAAAGGCCCTTTGAAAAACCGGCGGGGGATCGCGGGCGGCCCGAACAGCGCCCGCGGGGCCGCGCGGCGGCCCCATTTATCGCTGAAACACCGGTTTCTGCCCCCACATTGTTCCTCCCCTGCCGCCTGGCCCACTTCCGAGATCCCCCCCACCCCTCCGCCTTCCACTGAATCGCGCGCCGCGCTGAGCCGACCCCCCTTCGGGGGCCGCCGCGGGCCCTGGCCCGGGATGCCCTGAGCCCGAAGGGGCGCCCTCGGGCCCAGAGAGGCCCTTGGCCCTGGGACATGGAAGACCCGAGATGCAAACCGCGTCTGCAGACCCGCCGCGCGGGGCGCAAGCGCGCGCGTCACCACCACGCGGCGCGCAGGCAGAGAAGCAGCAGTAGGTCAATTTATAATTCGAGGAATGGCACTGGCAGCAGCAAGGAAAAAATGGAGGAGCAGCAGGGAGAGGGCCGATGCGTGGAGACGTCGCAAGCAGCGAAGGAAGGGCAGCCGCAAGAGCAACGGCAGGCACGAGGTGGAAACGAGCTGATGTCCGACACTCCCTTCCGACATCGCCCCGACCCGTTCCCAGTGGCCCCCGCGTTCCCGCCCCCCCCCCTTCCCCCCTTTTCCCCGCGCCCGTTCCCGCGCGTTTCCCCCGCCCCTTCCCCTGGTCAGATGCGAACATAATCTCTGCGAACGGAATCGAACAAAAAGGCGGCGGCGACGGCGGCTCCCCCCCTTTGACCCCCAGCAGCCCCCCACCCCCGCCCCCCCGCCCCGAACGATCCTGCCCTAGGCCCCCCGCGTATCCATCATCTCCATCCCCCACCACTCGCCCCCTTTCACCCTCCTCTGAATCGCCCTCATCGCCCCCGCACCCCCCCTCCTTAAGGCAATGTATACATCATCATCATCAGCATCATCAGCATCATCAGCATTCATCATCATCATCATCATCATCATCATCATCATCATCATCATTGTCCTCGCCCATGCCCCCCCCCCTTGCGACGCGCGTTGAGGGCGCGTCGCGACTGGAAGCCGCGCAAGAACACTCTGGCGCGCGGGGCGCGCGAAGTGCCAAGCGCACCGAGTGCGCCAGATACACCAATCGACTACAGGTAGGAATGACCCATGGCTAGAGTGACCTCTGGCGCGCGGTTTCAGGGGCGCCCGCGGGGGCCCAATGCAACGGCGCAAACCGGCGCTGCAACGCCGCGGCAATGATCGGCGGGGCGCCACTCGACAGACTTCGCGCGCCAGCGGGCAACCGCGGAATGCCGCCGATTGAATGCGAGCACCCCGAACGGCACTCCGAAGGCACTGCGGAAGCAGACGCTGCCGGGGGCCACCGCGACGAGGTCAGGCAGAGCCGAGCTGCGTCGCGAGGACGTTTGACCAAGCCCGACGCCATGGCCAGAACCGGCCCCATCCGAGAGCCTGGAATGCTTGAATATCTTTGGATAACTTGTAACAATAAAGATCCTCACTGGTGCGATAAATACATGCACGCATATTCAAAGATATTCAAGCCAAACGTTTGGGATTTGGGCTGGGACTCGGGACTTGCCCCGGGCCGGAAAACGCGCCGTCTGGTCGACCGGCCCCCCCTCAAACAACCGGCGCAAACTGTTGGGTGCGACGCGTGTGCGTCGCTGTTGATAGCAAGGGGTGGGCCCGGACCTGGCGCGCTCAGGTGCGAGCGTAATCGCGCGATGCAGGTGCCGACTCGAGGCCAAACTCATCCCGCAAGAACAAGCGCCCGCCCCCCTCGGGGCCAGCGCCAACGGCCACTCCAGCAAAGGCTCACTCCCACGCGAAATCGAACCAACTGCGCGAAGCACGCCAGGCGCTGCCCTGGCCGCGCCAGGCGCGCCAAATGTGCCCGGCTTGCCACATGCCACAGGAATGGCAGGCGCGCCGCGCGCGATGGCGCGCAAGGCACGGAACGGCCCAACTAGACACGATGTCAAGTCCCCGCAGATAACCGGCCAAGCAATGACCAGAACACTCTCGCGGCCCCGAAAGCCACCACGAACCATCCATCCAGACGCCCAAGCCATCGCGCGTCAACGCATCAGGGCCCCATGACATTCGCAGGAAGCGATCGGCCACGTCCGATCGTTGAGAACGACGGCTACCAAGACGCTGCAATAGTACACCACGAACAACGCACACGCTTATCCAGATCGCACGCCAGCCACGCGCAAGGTGGGCGATCGGCCAGGCAACGTCGCGAAACCACACATCCGAAGCACCGCGGAGACCCCGGCGATGCCCAGGTCGAAGCGCTCGCGCGCGAGCCGCGCCCAGCGGCCCGCTCCGAGGCACTCGTCCGTCGTATGATGCACGAGGTCATGCGCGGCATGTCCGAGTGCTCGTAGATGGCGCTCCCCACTGCCAGCTGCGGGGCGAGGTCCACGCTCGGGCCCTCCGAGGGCCCTCCAGATGCACATCGGGCGCCGTCAGCGCGCTCTTCTTGTTGGAGACGCTGCCCCCAAGTCCAGGTGGTAGATGTTGCCCAGGTCGCTCTCAGCTCTGGCGAGCAGCGCAGAGCGCAAGGCGCCTGGCGCGCGCTGCGCCTGGGCGCCCGAAGCGGGGGCGCCCTGACGCGCGTCGTTCCCGACCAACTCCAAGTAGTTGAGCTCCGCAGGTGGCCCGCGGAGCGGGTCGCATCCCTGGGCGACAGGCGGGGCCCTGGGACAGGCCTCCGGCGCGCGCAGGATCAGTCGCCGCGTCGCCATCGGCTGCGCTGCGGAATCGAAGCGCGCGGGCTTGCGAGGTCGAGCAGGCCGCGCATCGAGTGCGCGGGGGCGCCGGCAGGCCGCGCGCGCACCTGCCGCGGCGATCCAGTAAGCCACCGCGGCGTGGCGCCACGCTGCTGCGCGACACGTCGCTTCCCCTTTTGCAATGCACAGGATTCCCCTGTGGAGCATGTCAGCGTAGACGTGGGGCTGGTAGTCGGCGGGCGCCTGGCCCCAGTCGCCCGCGAATATGAAGGGCGGACCGAAGTGTTTCACATGGTCCGCCAGCGCGCGGTAGCGGTGGAGGTTCGCACATGTGTTGTCGGTCGCAGAGGTGGGGCCCATGCATGCGGAGCCCATGGCCAAGCCGCCTGGCAAGCCACAGTTCACGCGGATGAGGACGGACTCGGTGGGCACGAACGCGAAGGCTCCCTCTCGTCGGGCTGGGCAGCAGCGAGGTCTGGATGTGTGCCCTCGCGGAGATAGCCGCGCCAGCGCTCGGAAACAAAAACAATGGCTAGCCTCCTGCGCGGCGTGACCTAGGGAATCCAGCCTTGCGCGGCAGCCCAACGCCGCGCACGTTCGAGCTGTTCTCCGCGGCCACAACCTCGGCGCCCCCTGCGCGCTCATCCAACAACAGATGGAGCGACTTCCAGCCGAGCTCCTTGCAATCCTCGACGCCGTGGGTTCGCCGCCCCCACCCTCGCCAGCGCACTCCCCGGCGTTGGCGGCGGCGGCTGTGGCGTCGACGTCCATGGCAGGAAGGAAGGTCTGGCCTGGCGGAAACGCAGAAGTCGCAGGCGCTGCCGCCACAGCTCGAATCGGCCGCTGCTGTCCCGAAGGTCCTGCCTCGGTCGGCTGCGAAGCAGCCGCCGCAAGGGCTGGCAGCGATGGCGCAAGCTGGACGGAGAGGCTGCCCGAGGGGCTGCGCGCCGACGGATTCCTTGGAGTTGCCGTTCACGCAGCGCCTGCGCGAGGATGCGCTGAAGGTTCGCCGTGGCGTTGGCCGCCCCGTTGGCTCGGACGACGGCCGCGGGCTGCGCGAGGGCCGCGGCGGTGGCGCCCGCGGCCTGCGCCTGGCTGACCTCCGCACAGGTGGCGGCGACTTCCGTGGCGAGGACCTGGCGCTGCTGCTTGCCCTCTACGAGCCGCGCCGTTTCGGCGGGCCCCCCCCCGCTGTCCTTGGCGCTTGGCGGCTGCCGTCCGTCGCGATCACGCCCGCAAGCCCCCGCAAGCTGAAAACATTCCCCTTGAACCCGCAAGCCCATGTCGCACGGCAGGCCAAAACCTTGGCATCCTGCATGCCCTGGTAACGTAGTGACCGCGCAGCAGGGCACTGGCGCCCTCCACGCGAAGCAGCGCCCCGGCCGCGGAGCGCCAGCGGCGGAAGTGCCTGGCGAAAGCGAGCGGCGATCGCGGCGGCCGCTCGTGACACGTGGGATGGCGAGCGCTCTCGGCGGGCGCGCACCGTTGGAGGGAGAAGAGGAAAGCGCAGCGCGGGAAACAGGCGGCCCCAGCTGCCCGAGCGCAAAACGTCTGGAGGAGGAGGGCAGGAGGAGGAGGAGGAGTAGGAGGAGGAGGAGGAGGAGGAGGACGAGGAGGAAGAGATGTTTCAACATCAACCGACTGACAAGTCTTACACTTTGGGAGGGCGGCGCCTCCTCACAGAAGGTGCCCAGCTCAGAGAGATGCTGGATGGGACCAGGCTGGCTGAGAGAGGCAGCAGCCTGGACGCGAAGCGGAATGGCTGGCGCTCAAGGTATGTTTCCTCCTCTGACACGTTCACCACCAGCCGCACTGGGAAGGCCCAGAAATAACGCACGGCGGGGCAGGGCTGGGTGGCGCTCGCGGTCTGTTCCATCCGCTGCCGCTTTCGCCACCAGCCTGCCCAAACACCGACATCGCAGCAACCGTGGGGGGACTCACGCCGAAAGCAAAGGGAAGGGACGAGAATGAGCGGGAAAAGGAAGGAAAAGCCGCCAGTCCGACGGTGCCGCGGACACGGTGAGCACATCAAGGACGCCAGTTCAGTGACGCAGTGAACAAAGAAAAAAGAGAGTTCAGTCTGAGCTCCCCGTTGTAGGCGCGTCGGCCTAGGCAGGGTGTAAACAGGAGGAGCGGCTGCAGCTCCAGGCACACAAGACTGAGTGGGGGCACCTCCCGCAGGCACAGCGCCACAGCCGCTCGAAACCGATGCGGATGCGTTCGCATCTCCAGCGAGGTTGGGAGGACGGGCATTTCAAAAACAGAGCGGGGGCATCTCCGGAAGGTACAGCGCCGCTGCCACTCGATACAGGCGTGGAGGCACCTCCCGAAGGTACAGCGCCACAACCAGCTTCAAAAGGAGCAGGGGCACATCCCGCAGAAGGAGGAGGCTGAGGAGGAGGAGGAGGAGGAGGAGGAGGAGGAGGGAGAGGAGGAGAAGGAGGAGAGATGAGACAGGAGGGAGGAGAGAGGAAGGAGAAGAGAAGAAAGAGGAGGAGGAGAGAGGAGGAGGAGGAGGAGGAGGAGGAGGAGGAGGAGGAGGAGGAGGAGGAGGAGAGATGAGAGAGGAGGAGGAGGAGGATGAAGAGGAGGAGGAGGAGGAGAGGAGGAGGAGGAGGAAGGACGAGGAGGAGGAGGAGGAGGAGGAGGAGGAGGAGGAGGAGGAGGAGGAGGAGGAGGAGGAGAGAGGATGAGGAGGGGAATCAGTGCAAACAAACGACTCATCAACGATGTAGCGGTAGACCCTCCTTCCTGTTTCCTTGCCATGGTTCCCTAAACGAACATGCCCCATTGAAAGGAGGAGAAGGGGGAGACAGAAGCCAGAGGAGGAGGAGGAGGAGGAGGAGGAGGAGGAGGAGGAGGAGTAAGAAAAGGACCACGACGACGATGATCTCACGAGGAGGACAGAAGAGCATGAGGCGCGCAAAACATTGCACACAAGTCAATCACAACCACTCCGCTACCAACATAGGCCAGTCCTCCTCCTCCCCCCTCCTCCAACCACACCTGCTCAGTATACCCCTTCCTCTTGACCCTCCTCATCATCATTCTCCCTCCCTCCCTCCCTCCCTCCCTCGTGTCCTGCCTCCTACTCCCTCATCCTTTCCTTGCTCCCACGCTTTCCTGCTCCCTCCTGCTCCCTCGTGTCCTCCTCCTCCCCCTCCTCCTTCTCCTCCTCGTCCCAGGTACACTCGCAATGGAACTGGCAAGGGCAGAGATGGAGGTGGCCTTCGGCAGGAAGCCGGGGTTGTCCATGTACTGGGCCTGGCAGCTGAGAGCGCCACGTCTAGTGCAGAAGCAATCCGACCGCGATGTGGTTGCGCAATCGCTCTTGGGGAAGGGGGGCTCCGTGGAAGAACATGCTTGACAGAGCAGAAATTCTTAACATGATCGTTGCTTCCGCATGTGTGGCGCCATCCGGTTTCTAGGAATCCACAGTGGACTAGACAAGGCATTGTAAGACAAAACCAGTGCTTGCACGTCTATGCTGTTAGGGGGATGGGTGTCTTCCGCACTCGGTGCCCTTTTTACTCTGCGTGCCAACTGTCAAAGGGCACCGATGCAGTGTCTCCGAAATTTGACCTAGTACTGTTCTGCGCGGCGCATGATGCATAGCAGGCAAAGCATGAAGTCATATGTCTGTCAAATTAAGAGCTTAGCGAGCGCGGGGAGTGGCAACACCAAGCCCGCGCCTGTCTGAAATATGCTACGAGGTTGCTGGCACCGCTTTGGCTCAAGATGACGCGGCCAAAGCAAGATAACATCCTTTGCCCGTTCCGGTGAGGAAGAGGAGTCAGTCTCAGCGGGGAGGCCAGCTGCTCTTCCGACTCTTCGCTACCTGTAAACACCCCTGTCAGGCTGAAACTCAGGATCACGGTAGATAGCAGCCTCGCAGCCGCGGGTCGGCCAGCCCCATCGACCCCGCAGCCGACGAGCGCGGCTGCCGCCGCTGACATCGCCCAGTAGGGCGCCGATGACACAACCGCCCAACTTGCCGTGGCCCTCGGCGATCCACCCGCGGCCCGAGTGCCGACCGACGGCGCGGAGCTCTCCGCGGAACGCTTCCGAGGTGCAGCAGTCGAAGAATTGCATCACAAAGCTTGCAACGCAAAGCATGGCATCGAGGGGGGAATGGAAGAGGCGAGCGGCAGGTGGAGGTGGGGTGCTCCAGCAGGCGACACGCACACAGGGCGCCTTCAGGGAGTCGAGCGGCTGGAGGGGCCCCACCAGCGAAACGGCCTCCGCGGCGCTGCGGACCTGGGCGTGCGCGCGGGGAGCGCGGGCCGCTCGACGCGGCCGGCGCCCACTGGCGGCGATGGCGGCGGCAGCTGCAGGTGATGCCAGAGGACGAGCGAGCGAACCACGCGAGCATGCCTGTCGGCTGCTCGGCCCTGTGCAGGGCATGGGTGTACAATTCGACTACCAGCCAGACAACATATATGAAACGTGAACAGGATGTGGAATTGTGAAAAATCGACCCCCCGTGAAACGAACGGTTGCGTGATAATCGACCCCCGTGGAAAAAAGATGGCTGGCCATGTTGGACATACATTGACAGCTCCATGTCGCTAGACTGGCAAGTAGTTATGGGCCACGTGTACTTGCACTGTGGGTGGGAACTGAGAAGGGGCCCGCCCGTCCTGGACAAAAACCCTTGTTCCGATGTGTGGCCGCCGCGATCGCCACGACGACCTCCACAAGCGACCTGGAGGTTTGGTTTGGGGTCGGACATCACTCAACGAGAGAAGGGCGATGCCGCTACGAACGGAACGAACGCCACCATAGCGAAAGCTGTCCCGACTGCGGGGATATGGGCGTGTAGTGCCGCAGCACTCGATGCGTCTTCTCGGCAGAGCCTTTTGGAAGATGACGGGTTGCCACTGTCTTTGAGGATGGTGGACCAATTCTATGGCGTAGCTTTAGACCCGTGTGCCTGCAAATACTCACACAAGTCGTCGCACAATTCTACTCCGTGGCTCGTAGGGTGGTGTTCCTTTCGCTCGTCCTTCCGGAACTACACACCACGCACTGCATGGCCAAAGTCTCTCTGGGGTGTAGGGGCGCTTAAGACACCCCGCGGCCTGGCGTTTCAAATAATCCTGGGCAGCGCCCGGGGAGTGGGCGAAGGGGGGACGGCCCCTGGGAACAATCGCCCACTCCGACTTTGCCCGAATCCTAGCCTGGTCCGAAGAGTAGCGGAGGTCTATCCTTCAACCATGGCAGCGACGGCGACGACAATAACCAGCATCAATGACGATGGCGACGATTGCGTCGACAGAGACGATCGCAGTGCCAGAAGCGACAGGCGGCAGCCACGACGGTAGGGGGCCAACACGACGACGACGATGAGGACATTGCTGTGAACTTGTGCTTGTGGGAGGTGGGGTGCTGGGCCGAAGAGGGAAAGGAGGATGTGGAGTGTGGAGCGGAGCGAGGCGGAAAGGATGGGGCGGGAGAGGGGAAAGGGAAGGGAAGGGGAGCGGAGTGCAACGCATGGCGAGGGAGGGAAGAGGGGATGGAGAATGAGGAGAGGGGAGAGGCAAGAAAGGGAGAGAGGAAGCCGAGGCGGGGGACGAGGCGGACGGGTCAAGAGGATTGGAGCGAGAGGACTCACGGGCGGCGACCGCATCCCTAACCGCGCCCTCGCGGTCTGGATTCCGGGGCGCGGTCCCGCGGCTACGTCCCGCGCCTGGCATCCGCGAGGAAGCGCCCCGCATCCGCGGGGTCGCGGCCCAGCGGGCCTGGCCCGCGAGGCCGCGGATACGGAGCTGTGCTTCTCCCACGCAGGGCCCTCATCCTCCTCCTCCTCCTCCTCCTCCTCCTCCTCCTCCTCCTCCTCCTCCTCCTCCTCCTCCCTCTCCTCCTCCTCCCTCTCCTCCTCTCCTCCTCCTCCTCCTCCTCCTCCTCCTCCTCCTCGTCCTCCTCCTCTTCCTCCTCCTCCTCCTCCTCCTCCTCCTCCTCTCCTCCTCCGCCTCCTCTCCTCCTCTCCTCTCTCCTCCTCCTCCCTCTCCTCCTCCTCCTCCTCCTCCTCCTCCTCCTCCTCCTCCTGGCTCAAGTCGGCTCTCCGCCGGCTTGGGCGGTACTCATCTTGGCTCGAGCTCTGCACACTTCAGCTCGCCAAACTCTACCGCTCTTGCCGAGAGCCTCCATATGCTGGATGTCTTGTGCGCCGCTCATCCGCGTGCGGCCCCCCGGCAGACCTCTGGCAGCGCCGCCCGTCGGGCTCGGTCGGGCGCGAAAGGTGGCCATCCGGCATGCGCAAGTGCAGGCGCTGGCCGTGAGCCGCCTGCTGGGGTGCAGTACCCCGCCCGGACTCGACCTCGGCTTCGAGAACACGCGCTTCGCGGACACCGCGTACGGCCTCGAGCTGCCGATCGAGCAGGCACTCGATACGGACGCCCAGTACGACCTAGTGCTGGACACGCTCGGGATCGCGCCGTCCGTGCCGACGACCGCCCCGCTCCTCAGGGGCGACGAGGAGGAGGACACCTACTTCCTCACCACGGAGGCGCCGAATATGCCGCCTGTCGTCGAGGACTACACCATCACCAAGCGCGGGACCCTGCAGGAGGACCAGATCACCGCGAACTCCGAGGATGGAGACCTCGAGCCCTCGACCAGGGAGGCGCCCTACGTGCCATCTTTCGTCGAGAACTACGGCTTCATCATGCGAGACACCCTGCAGGAGGAAAACTCAAGGACGCCTTCGAGGACGGAGGCAACCACGACTCTAACAAGGAGGCGCAGTGCGTGCCGCCGAACATCGAGAACTACGGCTCCACCACGGAGACCACCATGAGCAACACCCTGCAGGAGGAGAAGCTTCCAGAAGACAGGGACATCGACTTCCTGGCCATGGAGGCGCCGCGCGTGCTGCAGAGCGGTGAGACAGACGGCAGCACCATGCGCGCAACCCTGCAGGAGGAGAAGCTCATTAATACTGCCGAGGAGAAGAAGCTCTTCGAGAAGCAGAACGACGTTGAGGAGGAGGAGGCTGGAGGTACGCAGGCAGAGTCTACACTTGATGCTGGAGCTACAACAAGGACTCCAACGGGAACTGGCAGAGCGTGAACGACAAAAGCCATCACGATAATATCGAAACGAAGTACTTGGAGTACCTCCTCGACAGCAGCCAACACGTCGCGAAGGTCGACATGCTCGACGCGCGCCTCGTTATCAATTTCAAGGCAGGGTACTTCAGACCAGCAGGGAGCCGAGGTGTATCAGAGCGTCGTGACATCAGAAGGCAGATCATCAGCTCTGCCAGGTAGTGAACACCAGTAGCCTATGCACCCTCTTCCGAATGGGCCGCCGCGGCTGTAGTAGGCAGTGTGCTCTGGTATTGTTGCTCGCATATGCTGAGCTCTTCTCTGTTGTGTGCACGCCTTGCTTGTTGCATGTGACATCTGAGCTCGTACATGAAGATATGGAGATTGCCCTGCCAGTTGCCCCGCCGCCGCCCTCTCACGGAAGAGGCCAGGCGGGGAGCTTCGTGAAGAGCTGGCAGGATGTAACAGCAGCTTGAAGGCTGCCCCCGTCTTTCCCTGCCCATCCCTGCCGTCCTGCTCCTCAATGTTGGGGCGGAGATGCGGGGCGATTGAAGGAGAGCGGATATAACCCCAAGGTTAAGGGTTGGGTCGGGTCGGCCAGACCTTAGCCTTCCCCCCCGTAGCATGTGATGGTCCTCCTCCTCCTCCTCCTCCTCCTCCTCCTCCTCCTCCTCCTCCTCCTCTTGCGCGGCGGCCTGGCCTCCCTCTCGAAGGCCAGGATGTCCGCGTCCTCGGGCGTGCGGCGGCTGGGGGGAGGCCGGGCACGCCCCAGCCCCTGGCCGCCCCCGAGCCCGTGCCCGCGTCTCGTGCCTCACCAGCCTGGAACATACAAGGCAGTTTTTAATACATGGGACTGTTTAAGCATGTGGGATTTTGAATACGTGGCTCATTTATGAAGAAATGTATGCATGAGCTCATCGCTGTTTTGAACACTAAATCCCTGCATGTGTAATACATGATCCGCACGCGGAGCATGTAATTATTAAAACTGGCGGCTGGGCATCGCCCCATCACGATGCCGATCTCAGGGAGTCCCTCAGTTTCTGAGGGCGCAGCCCTAAAGATTGCCATCGCCTCTCGGCGTGTCGATCCTAGGGACAGGGATCAGCTCGAGGCTGGCGCGTGCCCGCGGCGGAGCCCGGCCGGCCGCTTCGCAGCTCCCAGACCCGGGCCAAGTGGAGGGCGGCGAGAGAGGGCGGCGCCCCACCCGGACCCCCTCGAGCCAGGAAAAACTCGCGACGGGAGGCTGTTCCCTATTTTCGCGGCCTCATGGGGGCCCTCACGGGGCCCCGGGACCGTCAAGAAACGATTCCGGGCGGACAACCGGTCCTGGGGAGTGGGTCGAGAGCTCGGGGGGTGTACGAAATGAAAAAACCATGACGTCGGGGATCTGGGCACGGCTCCCAAACCAGGGTCAGCCAGGGGGGATTGGCTGACCCCCCTCAGCGGTGACCCCCGTTGCGTGAGCCCCGAAGGCAGCTGGAAGAAGGTTCGTCCAGCCGTATCCCCCGCCCCCCCTGCCCCACCCCCAAATGCTGCCCTGCACCGCCTGCCGCGCCGTCTGCCACGTTGCCTCCGACTACCCGTCGCCCCACGTTCTGTCCCCTTTCCATCCCTCGGACGTCCAGTTCCCGTCCATTGCCAGATGGTCCGATGCCGTCGCCGTCGCCGCCGCCACCACCACCGCCGTCGCCACCGCCACCGCCGCCGCCGTCACCACCGCCGCCGCCACCGCCGCCGCCGCCGCCGCCGTCGTCGTCGTCGCCGTCGTCGTCGTCGCCGCCGCCGCCGCCGCCGCCGTCGTCGTCGCCGTCGACGTCGTCGTCGTCGTCGTCGCCGTCGTCGTCGTCGACGTCGTCGTCGTCGTCGTCGTCGCCGTCGACAACGTCGTCGTCGCCGTCGCCGTC